ATCTTTTATGCCTGGAACATCTAACTCAATTAAAACAAGTATCAGTCCAATGCTGTGAAAATCATTCAATATTAAATGAATTGGCTTCTGCACAATTTATTAAAATGCTAATACATCGGTCTCACTTCTTTGAAATTCCCACCTCCTTAGGAATGTAACAAACCATCTCCAAGCAAAAAAAAACCCAAAGAACTATGGATGCTGGAAATCAGAAACAAAAACAAAAATTGCTGGAGAAACTCAGCAGGTCTGGCAGCATCTGCGTAGAGAAAAACAAAGTCAATGTTTCAGGTCCAGTGACCCTTCTTCAGAACTGATTGCAGCTGGGAAAAGTTTGGTATATATTGCTGGGGGGGTAGTGGGAAGGAAGAAACAATAGGTGGAGATAGAGCCCACAGAGAGAAAAACAGTTGGGTACACAAAGTGATGAGTAGAGGTCAGCCTGGGAGAATCAATAGCTGCTAATAGGGACCACTAGTGGCTGGCAATGGGTTGGTTATGGTAGCAACCCATGTGGTGACAGGGCCTGGAGTGTGGGGGTTACGGTAAAATTGTTGAACTCGATATTGAGTCCAGAAGGCTGCAGGGTTCCCAAGCGGAAGATGAGGTGCTGTTCTTCCAGCTTGCACTGAGGTCCGTTGGAGCAATGCACCCAGCTTGAGACACAGATATTGACCAGGGAACACAGTGATCTGTTGAAGTGGCAGGCACCTGGAAGGTCAGGGTCATTTTTGCAGAGAGACTGTATGTATTCTGCAAACCAGCTGCCTAGTCTGCGTTTCATCTTCCCTATAGCGAGGTGACCACATTGTGAGCTGCGAATACAGTAAACTTGTTTAAGTGAAGTGCAGGCAAGTTGCTGCTTCACCTGAAAAGGTGTGTCTAGGGCCTTGGATAGTGAGGAGGGAGGAAGTAAATTGGTGATTGCATCAGAAGGTATCATAGGGCTGTGGAACAGTTTTGGGAGTGGAGGAGGAGTGAACCAAGGTGTTCCAGAGGGAGCAGTTCCTGCGGAAGGCTGTCAAGGGAGGGGAAGGGAATATGTGTCTGGTGGTGACATCCGCCAGAGGTGGCAGAAATGGCAGCTAATGATCCTCTGGATGTGGACGTTGGTGGGATGGTAGGTGAGGATGAGGGGGACCCTATCGCTGCTGTGGGAGGGAAGCAGGAAGTGAGGGTCAAAATGTAGGAGATGGGTTGGACACAGCTGAGGGCCCTGTCAACCTCGGTAGTGGGGGGATTCCTTGATTGAGGAAGAGGGATGGCTATTTCAGGCGCTCTCTTGTTGAAGTTGGCATCATCGGAACAGGTGCGATGGAGACAGAAGAACTGGGAGAATGGAATAGAGTCTTTACAGGAAGCAAGGTATGAGAATGTTTAGTGAAGGTAACTGTGGAAGTAGGTGGGTTTGTAGTAGATATTGGTGTTGAACCTATCCCCAGAAATGGAAACAGATGTTGAGGAAGGGAAGGGATGACTCAGAAATGGACTAGAGATGTAACATCTCTAAATGTAGTTTACCACACTGTGGGAATACGGGTACAGTAACATGGTGGACAGGGCTCAAGATTAATTGCTGCTAAAATTTTTTTTTTCAAATCTACCCTTTTCACTCCTCATGATAATAAAGAACTAATTCTCCAGAATTGGGTCTAGGGACAATGGTGGTCTGCCATCATCTCATGTTAGCAGTTGAATGGTGAAATTCTCAGGTCTTACTATTTGTCAGTGGCAGCAATACAACTAGAGACCAATCCTTCACTTAATGACGACAGAAATTAAAACAGAAATGGACAGGGCGAATAGACAAGGTCCTTTTCCAAGGGCAAGAGAGTCCAAAACTAGATAGCATAGGTTTAAGGTGAGGGGGCCAAGATTTAAATAAGGACCTTAGGGGTAACTTTTTCACACAGAAGGTGCTGCATGTATGGAACGAACTGCCCAAGGAAGTGGTGGAGGCTGGTACAATTACAACATTTAAAAGGCATCAGGATGGGTATATGAATAAGTTGGGCCGAATGCTGCCAATTGGGATGAGGCCAATTGGGATATCTGGTCAGCACTGATGAGTTGGACCAAAGGGTCTTGTTTCTTCATTCTTCTGTGAGAAAGACTCTTCCCATTCTGTCCTGTTCTAGTCGTGTGCACTGCATACATCTGGAGGAAAATCATTACAGATGTTTGGCCATCTGGTGGGATTACCCCCTTCCACATTCCTCTCTTCATCTTCCACACGATGCAATTAGTGGGTTCTCCCATGCATTTAAGGGCCAAGTGAGGTGCTATCCCGAACCTCCAGCCGGAGAGCTGATGACCAATCAGAAACCTACAGCCCTCCACTGCTAGCAGCACCATCAGATGAAGTGACTACAGCCACAAATGGGAGGACAGCTCAATAAGGGGATCAATAGTGGGTACCAGGAGACAGGACAATGCAGAGTTAGGGTGGGGAAAGAAGTTACTGAAGATGGAAGGGCAGGGGAGGTCAGAGTTATGGGCAGAGGCTGGCATTTACCAAGAACCTGTCACCAAGGGACAATTTGCTCGTCCACAGTCAAATACAACAGGCCAATCAATGAGCCTCATCACCTACCTACTGCTGGTAGATCTGATTCTTGCAATCAGACCCTCCCTGCTCCCAATATAATTTGGGCTTGTTTTTCCAAAATCAGGAATCAGATGTGGGTTCTCCCTGCTCGGCCCACCATCATTCACATTCGGGCAGGCTCCACTAACTCCAGCCCTCAGCTTAGAAGAGACTCTGGCTACAAAACATCAAGAGCTTTCTTTTGATCAAATGGCTTCCATTGAATCAGATGAAGGTTTTAACCCACATTCAATCCATCTGCATCGGACACCTCCCCCTACAAAACGGTTTCAACGATATAAAGACATTTCAGAACATTCAATCTAGCAGATTTCAATCTTTTGCCCAGTTATTCTACAGGAACTGTCTCACTAGGATAGAATTTGATGCACAGACAGACATTAACCACCAACTTTCATTTCAAAGATCTCATCTACCAGTATGTCCAAAATATTTACAAAATGCCTATCTATCATTACAATGCAAAATCAAGATTAATCCAGCATCTAACCATAGCTAGCTGTTAGCCTCAGGAGTTTACCGTTTAACATTAGTTCATGCAAAATAAGTTTGCTTCTCGATTTTTGCTCCATCACACATGAAAAACCCGCATTCACCAATGAAATCTGAATTCACCAAGGCTCTTCCAACAACATCATCAAAACCTATGACTAGCTATATATAGGAAGAGCTTGGGTGGAGCTAATTCCCAAGTCTTCAGTATTATTACTGGAATATTGTCAGGGTCCATAGCCTTTGCAGTATCAATGCCTTCAACCATTTCTTGGTATCATATAGAGTGAATTATGTTGGTTAAAGATTGGATTTGTGATATTGGGGAATCAGAAGGTGACCAAGATGGAGCATCTACTGGGCATTACTGTTTGAAGATGGATCTAAATACTTTCACCTTGTCCTTTGTGCTGGGGTGTTGGGCCCGTCCATCATTGGAGATGGGGATATTTGTGCAGCCTCCACTTCCCGTTAATTGTTTCATTTTCTGCCACCATTCACAAACGGATGTGGCAGGACTGCAAACTTGAGTCCGATCTTATCACAAGGCAATACAGATCATGTGAAATGGCATCACTTCCTGCAATGATACCCACTCTTTCATTAGAACGTCATTCAGACTTAATCCCTTCTACCGCAGTCGCCCCTCACCACAATCCAACAGAAGTAAATTGTTCAGAGACTGGGCTCTGTTTGACTGATGATCTGTACTATCAACTTTTCTATAGTTTCGGTCTCTGGTGCAGGGCATGTTAATGTGACCTCACATGATGCCAATCTATGGTTAAACAAACAAGACTGGATCAATTCTTGATCTCCAGTGTGCAATTTAGCTCAGCCACAGTTGTCTGAAACACAAGACACGACACTGTTTTATTAACATCTGTGAAAGCCACTACTATGCACAAGGCATTGAACCAAATAAGATGGTTATCAAAAACACCGCAATGGAACCTTTATTCATGGATGATTCAGCATGTACATGGGGGTCTTCACAGTACAGGTACTTTCTTCATGCTGCAAATATAAAGCAGTCACACAGTAATATGGTACATCATATCCTTTCCACTACTATACATTAGAAACAACAACATCCCTAAAAAAGGTGTGTTGCAACATTCTCCTTTATTCCTCAAACAAAACCATATCCTCCTCAAATAGACAAAAGCTAACTGTGTATAATTCAACAACAGTAAAAAGGGGAGAGATATATATGGTAAAGAACAGAAGCACGTAGGCTCTTTAATTATTTTAACGAAGATCTGTAGCTTGGGTTGTGGTTGGAGTTGTTGCTTGGTTCACCAAGCTGACTGGTTTTCATGCAAACATTTCAGCTCCCTTCTAGGTGACATCGTCAGTGCTGTGTAGCCTCCGTTGAAGTGATGTTGTTCTGACCTGCTCTGAATTTAGATGGTGTAGTCTGTCATGGTGGGCAGTCTTGTTTCCTGTTTCGTATTGTGGTGATATGTAGATGGGGTCTATTTCAACATGTTTGTTTTTCACACTAGTAGTTGAAAACCAGGCCTCCAAGAATTCTCATGCTTGTCTTTGTCTCGCTTGTCCTAGTACTGTTACTTTGTCTCAGTCAAATTGATGTCCTTCTATGTCAGATGGGCAGGAAACTCACCACCAGGATACATGAACACCAACTCGCAGCAAAACGGCACGACCAACTCTCCCTCGTTTCAATTCACTCTGACGTGGAAGGATATCAGTTTAACTGGGACAAAGTTACCGTTCTAGGAAAAGTGAGACAAAAACAAGCACGAGAATTCCTGGAGGCCTGGTTTTCAACACCGATGTGATAAACAAACATGTTGAAATAGACCCCATCTACATATCACTACGGTACAAAACCGAAAACAAGACTGCCCACCATGACAGACCGGACCATATAAATTCAGAGTGGGACAGAATAACAGCGCTTCAACGGAGGCTACACAGCACTGACTATGTCACCTGGAAGGGGGACAAAATGTTTGCATGAAAACCAATCAGCTCGGCAAACCAACCGACAACTGGATGTAGAGTCATTAGTCATGATAAAACTTAATTAAATGATTGGTCTGGAAAGAGGATAACAGTTCTTGGTATCCGAACGGTATTTCATGGACTCTTCTCTTGGAAGTAAAATGTGTAGATGCTGTTTGCTCACTTTGTTCATCTTTCTTTGGTAGGCGCTCTGATGTTCCTGATTTTATAGTTTTCAAGCCAAGTGTCCAAATGCCTCAAACATTCTTTTCTGCTGCAATGCCTCTCTTCTAGACTTCCTAAGCATGGTGGTCATTTCCCACAGTTTAGCTTTGAAAATACAGGCAGAATCATTGGATGAGGCAGAGAAGTTGGGTCGATTGTGGATGTGGCATCATCCCAAAAGGTGCCATGTAGCATCACCTCTTAAGCTGTTAGAGCAGAGAGGACAAACCAGTGATCCTTGACAGAGAGAACTGGCTTATCCTCTATGCTTGGCCCATTCTTAAGATGTTGATCAAAGGCAGGTACTGATACCAGATTTAAATCTCTGCATGTATATTTTTGTGATCCCAGCTGATATTATTACTAGACAGGTCAAATCCCAGACTGAAATCTAGCATGATAGATCACATTATGCAAACCCTTCCTGTTGAGTTATCAAACTTTTGGTTTTAAACAAGGTGGCCTTTCATTGAAACACAACCACGTAATGCTGTAGAATTGATTTTAACAATAAAACAGAAGTTTATTACACAAAAGAAATGAAGATAAAACAAAATAAACCAAACCATTTACATATAACACAAGTTTAAAGATTTCAAGACGCACAGAAAATACAATCCAAACTATACCCAAAGTAGTCCTTTATAGCACTCACACCAGAGAGAATTCCCTTCTGTTTCACATCAATAGTGCTCAACTCAACTGTGGCTTCAACTCTTAGTCTTGAAAATCTGACTACCACATTCTTGAATCTTCATTTAACTAAGTTTAGACTTCCACTGCTTTGAAACTTTCAAAGCAACACCTTAAACTTGGGTAACCTATTTCTTAACCTTTCCAAACTACCCCCTTTCTTCAGAAGCAACTGCCTTATACATCCAGCTTCTGTGACTACTTCTGCAAACTGCCCTGGCTTTTCTTTAAGCTATGGATGCTTCCCCAAGACAAAAATACAGTCTCCGGATCTTTCCAGCTGAAGCCTAATGCAGATCTGTTTACTCTGATCCCTCATAAAACTCAACACAATGAAACAAAAAGCCTTATTACTCTCTAGGAAGTCTTTCTCTCTCTCTCTGTCTCTCTCCCCCCTACTGTATTTTAAAATAAGTATTTCTGTAGTTGTGCTAACTTAAGAGTAAATCATCAAACCTTTTCACAGACATAGACTAAACCCAAATGCCACTAGTTCAAATTCCAAACTCTAAAAATTAATAATATTTAAATATATATAAGCCCCTCACCTTAAATCAACATACAAATACTGTGACCACAAGGTTACGTCAAAGGCTTGGGATTCTTCAGTGAGTATCTCACTTTCTGACTCCACAAAGCTTGTCCAATATCGATAAAGGTACAAATCAGGTGTATACTGCAAAACTCTCTACTTGTTTAAATGTGTGCAACTCCAACAATACTCAGAAAATTGACAACATCCAATATAAATCAGCTCACTTGATCAGCACCCCAACCACCACCATAAATATTCACACTGTTCTCTAACAATGCACTGTGGCAGCAGTGTGTACCATTTATAAGATGGTCAGCAGTAACTCACCAAAACTCCTTTGACAGCACCATCACATCCTGCGATGTCCACCACTTAGAAGGACAAGAGTAGCAGATGCATGGAAACACCACCAACTGCAAATTCTTCTCAAAGTCACACACCATCCTGACTTGTAATTATATCACCATTCCTTTATTGTCATGGGGTCAAAATCCTAGAACTCCCTCCCTAACAGCATTGTGGTGCCCCTACACCACATGGAATGCAGGGTTCAGGAAGGCAGCTCACCAGCACATTCTGAAGGACAATTAGGGATGGATAATAAATGCTGGACCAGCTAGTGACGCCCATATCCTATAGTTCAATGATAAGAGTAATCATTCCAATGGAAAAGATGTGGGATTTGCATTCTGATTGGTTATATTTCCAATTAACTGTGATTAAACACAAAGCTAATGAACTGTTAAATGCAGTGAGCCGGCTGCTCTGCATTACCATGGCACCCCATTTATTCAGACTCATAACCTTTAGTTTGGGTGGAAGTAAAATGTTTGCATGGCACTGTATCCGCCTTCATGCAGAGCAGATGCACACCATCCACTTTAGAACATAAAACGTGAATTGACACAAATCCCTCTTGTGGAGTTATCAAACATTTTCTTTAAAAGTTCCCTCCAGTATGCCTCTACTGTTGTGGATTCCACCTCTGTATGCCCAGCTACTTCAACCTCTGAAGTCATACTCATGGCCCTCAGCTTGTTATCAACAGACAAACTGATCAATTGACTTATTCCTCTGCTACAGAAAAGATATCAATATGAGTCCACAGTCCACAAAATTGATCTCAACCTGAAAAAGATCTACCAATATGAACCAGATTCTTGCAGGATCCTTCTGCCCATCTTTGGTAAGACCAGAATTGTTAAAGATATGCATAGCTTTGTGCCAATCTTCACTGAGTGCTTCATTGGTTCTGAGGTCTAGAGGTCAACCAAACAAAACTGGGCTCTTTGCTTGCAAAGATGAAGTTCTGATAGCAGATCCACTGCTATTCAGTTGTCATAACAGGAAACCGTGTTGTCATCTTTGCAATGCCTTTTACTTTACGCAAATCTCCAGTTGTATGGTTAGACAGAAATAGATGGGCAACTACTGCCTGCAGATCCAACTGCCACCACGGTTTTGTAAGGCTTTCACAGTCCTTTGCAGAGGAACTGACTGCTCCGAATGTTGCAAGTCTGTTGCAGATCAAAGCAGATGCAACCTGCCACAATTTTGGATTAATCTTAAAGTGCCTATAGATGAAAACATTAACGGTGTTACTTTCTGCATAGCAAACAAAAAACAATTACAGATTTCTTCTACAAGCCAGCCTTGAAGATCACCCTGTTCAGTGCAACTAACAGTGCAGTTGCCATGTTCAACCTGGTGGTGGGCTTCTATCTATATGTGGCCCTCATGCTCTCAACACATTCTGAAGATGAGGATCTGGTAAAATGAAAGGATCACAGAATTGCCCTGCTTTTGGTTCTACATGTTCACATCTTCGCTTCTTGGGCTGGAAGGGAGAAATCCGATCCTCAGAATCACTGCAGATTTCCAGTCTAACTGGGGCCTGTAACTGTCTGACCTCACAGCCCACAAGCTTATCCAGTTACCTGCGTTGCTGTGAAGCAATAGAACTAATACAAAGGCCTTAATGTTTGCATAAGTTGTTGGCAAGGACTGTAGCTGAGCCAACAGCTCTCTGAAATAATTCAATTAGTCCCATTCCATCTCCACAGCCCTGCAGCTATATGTCCCTCAACTGTTTGTCCAATTCCCTTTCAACATCATTGATCGAGCCCAAGAGGATGTTGGAAATGGAAACAATGAGGAGAACAATTCTGACCATGTGGCAAACTCGCCAATTTGAAACCAGCATGATTGGAATGCAAATGCCTCAATAAATTCTAGAACCTGCTCCTCAATTTCCTCACCATTTCAGATGATAAGCACATATTGGAGTTGTAATGAACAACCAACTTTGCAAGAAGGTTTTATGTTTTAAAAACATACTTTTATATCCAAGTGAAACAGACAGTTCTGAAGGGTGATAGTGAATTCCAGGTAAACACCTCAAATTGGAAAGTACACATGAAACTTCAGGTCGCCATAGTGATGGGAAATAAGAAAGGAGAGAAACTCAAAGAGAAACCCAGAGATAATAGGAACCGCAGATGCTGGAGAATCTGAGATAACAAGGTGTAGAGCTGGATGAACACAGCAGGCCAAGCAGCATCAGAGGAGGAGGAAAGCTGACGTTTCGGACCTAGACCCTTCTTCAGAAATGGGGGAGGGGAAGGGGGTTCTGAAGTAAATAGGGAGAGAGGGGGAGGCGGATAGAAGATGGATAGAGGAGAAGATAGGTGGAGAGGAGACAGACAGGTCAAAGAGGCGGGGATGGAGCCAGTAAAGGTGAGTGTAGGTGGGGAGTTAGGGAGGGGATAGGTCAGTCTAGGGAGAACGGACAGGTCAAGGGGATGGGATGAGGCTAGTAGGTAGGAGAATGGGGTGGGGCTTGAGGTGGGAGGAGGGGATAGGTGGGAGGAAGGACAGGTTGGGGAGGCGGGGACAAGCTGGGCTGGTTTTGGGATGTGGTAGAGGGAGAGGAGATTTTGAAGCTTGTGAAGTCCACATTGATACCATTGGGCTGCAGGGTTCCCAAGCGAAATATGACGTGCTGTTCCTGCAACCTTCGGGTGGCATCGTTGTGGCACTGCAGGAGGCCCAGGATGGACATGTCGTCTGAGGAATGGGAGGGGGAGTTGAAATGGTTCTCGACTGTGAGGTGGAGTTGTTTAGTGCGAACCGAGCGTAGGTGTTCCGCAAAGCGGTCCCGAAGCCTCCGCTTGGTTTCCCCGATGTAGAGGAGGCCACAACGGGAACAGCGGATACAGTATACCACATTAGCAGATGTGCAGGTGAATATCTGCTTGATGTGGAAAGTCTTCTTGGGGCCTGGGATGGGGGTGAGGGGGGAGGTGTAGGGGCAGGCACTCTTATCAGCTTTCCGGAGGGACCACTCTCTCTGTGACTCCCTCGTCCGCTCCACGCTCCCCTCCAGCCCCACCACACCCAGCACATTTCCCTGCAACCGCAGGAAGTGCTACACCTGCCCCTACACCTCCCCCCTCACCCCCATCCCAGGCCCCAAGAAGACTTTCCACTTCAAGCACATCTGCTAATGTGGTATACTGTATCCACTGTTCCTGTTGTGGCCTCCTCTACATCGGAGAAACCAGGCGGAGGCTTGGGGACTGCTTTGCGGAACACCTACGCTCCGTTCGCACTAAACAACTCCACCTCCCAATCGCGAACCATTTCAACTCCCCCTCCCATTCCTCAGACGACATGTCCATCCTGGGCCTCATGCAGTGCCACAACGATACCACCCAAAGGTTGCAGGAACAGCACCTCATATTTCGCTTGGGAACCCTGCAGCCCAATGGTATCAATGTGGACTTCACAAGCTTCAAAATCTCCCCTCCCCTACTGCATCCCAAAACCAGTCCAGCTTGTCCCCGCCTCCCGAACCTGTCCTTCCTCCCACCTATCCCCTCCTCCCACCTCAAGCTCCACCCCCATCTCCTACCTACTAGCCTCATCCCGCCCCCTTGACCTGTCCGTCCTCCCTAGACTGACCTATCTCCTCCCTAACTCCCCACCTACACTCACGTTTACTGGCTCCATCCCCGCCTCTTTGATCTGTCTGTCTCCTCTCCACCTATCTTCTCCTCTATCCATCTTCTATCCGCCTCGCCCCTCTCCCTATTTATTTCAGAACCCCCTTCCCCTCCCCCATTTCTGAAGAAGGGTCTAGGCCCGAAACGTCAGCTTTCCTCCTCCTCTGATGCTGCTTGGCCTGCTATGTTCATCCAGCTCTGCACCTTGTTATCTGAGAAACCCAGGGAGATGTCTTTTAGCACCTCCAACAGAACAGAGGTAAAGTTGGGTACTGCTGAAAAAAAGAGTCTTGCTGTCAAAGTCTTTTACCTGGCACTCGTCAGGACGGAAGCAAGAAATCCAAATTTCAAAAGGGTATCAACAATTTATATAGCATGAGGAAAGGTTGCTGCTGTGAAGCAGATGGAAAAGAATTGGATCTCGCCCAGGAACAGATCTTCCTTATTCTGTAGGAATTGAAGAACAGCGAAAGTAAACTCTATGGGAGAAAACAGTTTTAATCAGAACCAGCTAAACTATTTCTGAGGGGTCAGATATAGGAAGCTCTGGAACTCCTGATCATCAGAACTGTCATGAGAAAGGCACTTGCTGGCAGTAATTGTATGATCGAAACCTCAGGCGAAGTGGAAAGATTGTCAAAGAACAGTGGAGGTTTTAACCTTGTGTGCTGACTCTCTGCTGGAGGACTAGAAGTGACTTTGAGACTGTCCCTTTAATGCTATGTACATATCTTAGTAGCTTGGTTTAGAGAGGAAAAAAAAGTTTTGTAAGATGTATCACAGTTGCATTAATTAATACGAAACATATCCTTTTCTCCAGTGTGATGTATCAATTGGCTGTTAATTAATAATTAATTTACACTGATTTAAGTTTATTTGTTAACGTCTCAAAAGTTAAATTGTGCCTTTTCACTATTTCTAAAGGCATTGGAGAGATTCCTGCTTTCATGAAGTTAACTAGTCACTACTGGTGCTAACATGCCTCCCAGCATCCATTGTATTTTTTAAGCTAGTTTGTTTGGCATATCTTGAAATAGTGCCTACTGTTCCATTTTGTACCTTAAAAACTAGTATAAACCTCTATTCCTCCACCTCTATCCAGAAATGAAGCATTATATGTCCTGTCATAACTTAATTTTCCAAAGCCACATGTCAGTTGCGTGTCCCTTCTCCACACATCTTCCAGGGCAACTATTTCCTGTGCTTTGTTGACCAGAATCCAACAAAGCAGTCAAAACGCAACCTTATGGCAGAATCACACAGCTTCAGCAAGGCATTCTTAGATCTGTACCATATGGAATTGACAACGCAACACAGCATCCTGTTCACCAACTGCCGCTCAGAAATAACTTGGAATCCCTACAGCATGGAAGCAGGCCACTCGGCTCATTTGAAGAATATCCCACCCAGACCTACCCCCCCGCTACCCTGCTCCCCATCCCTGTAACCCCACACTTCCCATTGCTAATCCACCTAATCTACACATCCCTGGGTAATTTAGCATGGCCAATCCACCTAACCTGCTCAACTTTGGACTGTGGAAGGAAACCGCAGCACCCAGAGGAAATCCACCAGGAGACATGCAAACTCCATATAAACAGTCACCCGAGGGTAGAATCAAACCTAGGTCTCTGGTGCTATGAGACAGTGGTGCTAACCATTGAGCTACCATGCCACCCCTTGATATAAAAGCTGAAATTTCCTCCTCACACTGCCTGAGGTTCAGCTACTTACAGGGATAGGCAGTAGCAGGACATGGGGATTCAGTGTTTGATCATTCCTTGTGATTCAAGTATTTTAATCGCTGGTTGCACCCAATACTGCAAATGTGCACATGAACATGGAAACTTTACTGTTCTCTGTCATTATGCAATACTGGATGCAAATTGTACCTACAGTAAGTGAACATGTATCATTACTATGATGGGAATGAACTTTAAGGGCACAAGAACCATTTATTAAAATGTTAATAAAATCTTCTTTATAGACATCTGACCCCTTTCTCAAAACTACTGACAGCTCCTTCACCATTTTCCTTACAATGCTCTGCTGTGAAGTTAGCAAGAATCAAATAAATAGGAGCAGGAATAAGCAGCTGACCAGCCAAGCCTACTCCGTCATTTAAAATGATGATTGCTAAGGTTGGGCTGCAACTCCATCTCCCTCCCTTTTCCATTCCTTCCTCAATCCAAGAGATGAAAAGGGTCCCGACCCGAAACATCAGCTTTCCTGCTCCTCTGATGCTGCCTGGCCTGCTGTGTTCCTCCAGCTCCACACTGTGTCATCTCTGACTCCAGCATCGGCAATTCTTACTATCTCTGAGATGAAAAGTCTGTCTGGCTCAGCCTTAAATGTACTCAACGTTGGAGCATCCACAACTTTCTGATGTAGAGAATTCCAAAGATTCACAATCCTCTGAGCAAAGTAATTTCTTCTCATCTCAGTCTCCAAAGTGATCAGCCCCTTATCTTAAGGCTGTCCCATTTTATGGATTCCCTGACTACTGGGAATGGTCACTCAATGCCTATCCTATTATCCAGATCTTTTATGTCTCCACATGTAGACAGGGTGGTTAAGAAGGTGTGTAGAATGCTTGCCTTCATTGGTCAGATCTTTGAGAATAGGAGTTGGAATGTCATGTTGAGGTTGTACAGGATGTCGGTGAGGCCTCTTCTGGAGTACTGTGTGCAGTTCTGGTCTCCTTGCTGTAGGAAGGATATTATTAAATTGGAGAGAGTCAGAAAAGTTTCACCAGGATGTTGCCAGAAATGGTAGGTTTGAGTTGTAAGATAGGCTGGATAAGCTGGGACGTTTTTCACTGGAGCGTAGGGAGTTGAGGGATGACCATATAGAGGTTTATAAAATCATGAGGGTCATAGATAAAAGTGAATAGGAAGAGGCCTTTCCCTAGGGTGGGGGAGTTCAAAACTAGGGGGCATATTTTTAAGATGAGAGGAGAAAGATTTAAAAAAGGACATGAGGGGCAACTCTTTTACAATGGGAGTGGTTCATGTGTGGAATGACCTGCCAGAGGAAGTAGGCAGGTAGAGTTACAACATTTAAAAAGACATTTGGATAAGTACAAGGCAAGTTGGACTCATTTAGTTTGGGAACATGGTCAGTGTGGACTAGTTGGGCCAAAGGGTCTGTTTTTATGCTGTATGGCTCTATGACAATGAAATGCTTCTCATTCTTCTAGAGAATACAAAGGAGCCCCCTTATTCTAGGGAGCAATTTATTGAAAAATTTGCCATATTGCCTCCAATGCAAATTTATCCTTGCAGAAATGTGGAGACTAACACTTCACATGGTACACCAGATGTGATCTCAGCAAAGTTCTACAGTTTTCGTAAGACATATTTATTCCTGTTCTCTAATCCCTTTACCACTTTCACTTGGCCTACACCCAGATTAAAGGCAGCATAATAAATAGGGAATACCAAATATCTTTGTTTGTAGGGAAGATAGTTCTGGAGCACCCTCCTGTTAATAGACCAAGGCACTCACAGTGTGACATGGCCAGTAGCACAATTCATTCACATTGCACTTCTGGAGGAAGTTCATGAGTTTAAACAATCCATACATTCAGGCCAAAATACAGCCAACTTCCACCCCTTTTCCTTCTGAAACTTTCACAGCACTCTCCAGGCTAAGAAGTTTAGACTTTACACTACAGTCTTATTTTTCCACACAGTCACTACATTTTGGCTATTATTAATACATTATGTATTCATGCAGAGCTGATTAAAATCACAGGCAGAAGTTACCACAACAAACTGATTTTGCCACTGCCATAATGACAAACCACAGCAAAACTCCCCACAGATCAAATACATCAAGTGCACCTACCTTCAACTTGATTAAGCATTCATATATCATTTCCAGCAGAAAATATTACTTAACACCATGTTTGCTCCCACTTTTTTGGCTCCTAGGATGAAATTACAAAAGACTGAAAAAACTAGGGTTGTATTCCCTCCAATTTTGCTGTGAAACTACATTTTGCTTGCTGATATATTTCACCTAAAATAAACTCGATTCAAGATGTCTGCTGTCTTCTGAAACATGGTGGGATGGCGCGGTGGCTCAGTGGTCAGCACTGCTGCCTCACAGCACCAGGGACCTGGGTTCAATTCCACCTTCATGTGCCCATCTGTGTGGAGTTTGCACATTCTCCCCGTGCCTGCGTGGGTTTCCTCTGGATGCTCTGGTTTCCTCCCGCAGTCCAAAGATATACAGGTTAGGTGGATCGGTCATGCTAAATTGCCCATAGTGACCAGGGGTGTGTAGGTTAGATTAGTCATAGGAAGTGTAAGGATACAGGGATAGAGTAGAGGGGGTGGGTCTGAGTGGGATGCTCTTCAGAGGGTTGGTGTGGACTTGAAAGGCTGAATGGCCTGCTTCCACATTGTAAGGATTCTATTCTATGGAACACATAGCCCCAAAACATCGCTGAAGGAGTCCCCCAGGGCAGTATCAGAGTCCCAATTAACAGGAGCTGTTTTGTCAATGAGTTTCCCCCTGTAAGGACACAGTGCAGATGTTTATTTATGGTTGTATAATATTTGGTTCCACTTTCAGATGTTCAGGTGATGAAGCAGTCCATGTCCGTATGCAGCTAAATTTGGACAATTTTCAGGCTGATAAACAGCAAGTAACAAGTTCCAGGTAATACAGTATTCAGTCCTTTAGATAGTCATCCGCATTCACATCATCAAATCCTCTTCCATAAACACTCTGGGAGATACCATGAACCAGAAACTTAACTGAACTAACTACATAAATACGAGGGCCACAAGAAACATTCAAAAGGCTGGATACCTTGCAGCAAATAATTCATTGCCTGAATGTTTATATTTCATTATATTTAATCTATCTAGTCAAGGTTCTTTTATTTCTAGATATTATTTATGTTCTCCCTGAGAGAGAGAGTTCTTCGGATGTACACCAGACTAATCCCTGGAATGAAGGGATGACTATGAGGAGAGATTGAGGAGACCAGGCCTGATTTTAGAAGAATGAAAGGTGACTAAATTGAAACTTACAAAATTCTTAAAGGTCTAGACAGGTTGGATGCAGAAAAGGCATTCCCCCTGGTGGGGAAACTTTAGAAACAGGTAACCTAGTCCGAGGTTAAGGAGCAGGCCATCTAGAACTGAGAGGGCTAGGAATTTCCTCACCTGAGGGTGCTGAATGTTTGTAATTCTCTACCCTAAAAGGGCTGCATAAGTTCAGTCATCAAGTACATTCACAATAGAAAGACAATGATAGATTTCTATACAATAACAACATTAAAAGGATATGGGGATAGGGAGGTAAATAGGGAGGTAGATGATTCAGCATGGCACAGCAGGTTTGAGGAACTGATTGGTCCACATCCATTCCTACATTCCCATGGTCCTGGTTGGAGTAGAAATATGCTGACCAAAGAAACTGTTCCAATTGGACCTTTCTCTATCCTAACTTACTTTTATAATTTTACATCATAATTATAGAACTTTGTTAGTATAAACTTCCCACTTACAAATTTCATTCACAATTTTTGTTTCAATTGTTATAAGATCGACTGATCTCCCAGGTCAATCTAAAATGGATTCCCTTTGGATCACTTCCCCTTTTGAATTCTACCTTGTTCTGCTATAGTGCCTCTGACTAGTAACCTGACCTCTTCTCTTTCACCACTCCCATCCTCCTGAAAGTTCTTTAGCATACTATATTTAATCAGCATTCTGTCCTCAGTTGCTGCAATAATACGATATTGATTAAAATTGAAATTCACAGCAAAATACAATGATTTTAATTCCACATTACGTAAATTAATAAACTACCTCAGATCTGCAAAATACTTAGAGGACTTGTATAAACTGAAGTAATTCCTCCCCCCTCCACAGTTTATCGTGTACTTTTCACGCCCTCAGAGTGCTTCAAAGTGCTTCACTGTAAATTAACTGCTTCTGAAGTTCAAACACTTATTTTCTCAGCAAATCCTGAAGCCAAAATGTACACAAGGTCCATCCCTGCAGAGGCACAGGGATCGAGAGAGCGAGTGCAGCACAGGAGAGAGAGGATGGCAATCGGCAGCAGTACAGCAGTGCAGAGGCACAGGGATCAGGAGGTCAAACTCTGTGCTGGAGAAAGATCGAGCCCAGCATGGGGAAAGCCAATGTGGAGCGACTGCAGGCCCATAGCTAAAGAAGAACTGTAATTCGGAGCTTTTAACTTTGTTTCTTATTTACTACTTTATACTGACAAGAACTGTAATGTTGAACTTCTAACATTTCTTCATCTACTCTTTAGCTAAGATTTATTACCGAGGTACAATGTACCTAAGATGGCGTGGTGAATGGCAACATTGAAAACTTTTCACTGTGCTCCTGTATCCCTGTACTTGTGTACATATAACAATGAAACCTAACTCTAAATTTCTTTCTCTCAGAGGGTCTTTAGAATTCTCTTCCTCAAAAAGTTGTGGAAGTCATTGAATATTTTGAAGGCAGGAGAAAAAACGATTATTGGTTAGTAAAGAGGGGATAGGTTATTGAGAGTAGGTGGGAATGTAGAGTTGAGATTACATTCAAACCAGTTATTATCTTATTGAATTGAGGGGGCTTACTCCTGCTGCTAACTCGTATATTTGTATATTCATCAGCTCTGCCAGATTGCACCTTGATGCCAATTGCTCAACCAGACATCTGGCAAAATCAGAAGTTCAGCACAATCTCAGTCAAAATTGACTTTGAGACACTACCTGTACTGAGTCAACCTGATGCTCGTAAACCATCAAATACATAAAGTGTAATGCTAAGTAAGTTCACACTGATTGCAGGATTGAAGACCTGAATTAAAAGTTAATTCATCTCACTGTTTAAAACTTCATTCATGAAATGTGGCATTTATTAGTGGGGAGCTGTGTCCTTAAATCACTGCAGCCCATGTAGTGCAGGTACACCCACAATGCTGTTAGGGAGGGAATTCTTGAAAAATGTCTCCTCTCAGTTTGCTGCAAGTGGGATAATTAGTTAATTGTGTGGATTTTGTCTAGTCTTCTCTCTGAGCAAAAAGCATTTTAACCAGAGTTTTAATATTCTTGGGGAAAGAAGACTAACAATAGCTTTCGAACTGAATGAATGAAAAAGACCACTGACATAATTCATTCCTTACTTTAAAAGTGTAGATAAGTCTTTAGTTTTGGATTTCCATGATAAAATTCCTCTGTCACACTTGCAATGGAAACTGCCTATGTAAACCTGTCACACGGTAATGATGCCTTTTCACCAGAGGTAGTGCTATAGCATCATCTGTGGTGAAAGGTGTCCAAAATCAGTCTATTTGCTACCAAATAATAAAAACATCAATAATAAGCTCAAAAGAGTAAGCACAACTGAACGTTTTTAAATGACTGTTACACTAATGGTAGAATTCAAATAGCTTGAGGAAGCACAAGGGGACAAAGGGATCACACAATCATCCGTTCTGATGTACAAATACTACTCTCAAAAGTACCTTAAATCTAGTCAAACAGCTCAAAAGATTCCCAAATACATTTTTATGATTCTCAAAGTTGAATCACTGGCGATTTTTTTTAAAAAACATCTATATTCCTGATACTGATAACATAATAATGCAACTTTCTTAGGCCTGGCACAACTAGTTTTGAGGAAGGAATTAGGCTAATATGTAGAGATAACAAGGTGTAGAGCTGAATGAACACAGCAGGGCAAGCAGCATCAGACGAGCAGGAAGGCTGATGTTTCGGGCCTAGACCCTTAATATGTATATTGCATTAAAAAGAAGGCATCAGTTTTCCAACTCTTCAATTCCGAAGTTGAGTTATATTGGATTGGAAACACTAACTCTCTCTAAAGATTCTGCCGGACCTGCTGGAGTTTCTCCAGCACTTTTTTTGTTTTGAATGTCGAGGGGGGAAGAGCCCAGTCGAGTTGAGATCAGTTGCCCACTCACCTGGAGGAGAGCCATCCCGAGCTGAGGGACACGGCTCCTCACAACTCGGCGAGTGATCAGGAGGAGAAGACATCTTCTCGCACGTCTCCTCGCAGGCCGGGAGAGCAAGTTGATCTTGCTGCCGTCGCTTTGCAATTTAGCAGAACATGAAAAATTCCACGTGCGGAGAATCGGCATCGGAGAAAGAAGCGAGATGTCCCTCGATCAGGAGAAAGCTGACATTTCTCCAGGGGGGAGGCCAAGGGGGACGCGGGGAATCAAACCTGAGGGAAATTCTACCGTCAGTAAATCTAAACCGAACAAATCACTGCAGAAGCTTCAGCACCGTCGACGGCGAATAACGTGCAACATTCTGGCTTCTTGCAGCGAGGCGGAAGCACTACATCAGGAAGGGAATACAGAAAGAGAAAGGTTGGTGCGCAATTGAATGTCATCGCGAAAAAAAAGGAGGAGCGAGGCAGCACTTCCTGAACAAACTGTAAACCCCGGCTGATCTCAGGAAACGCTGTCTTCACATCGGCAAGGCCTTAGCATCCATTGAAACGAGAGCACAAAGTCCCGAGGCTGGCGCTTTTTGTTTTGAGGGGAATAATAACTTGTGTGTTTTTTAAAAAAAACCTTACGAGGAATTTCTCTCGTGAAAACTTAAGTGAAGCTAAATGGATGCAGCTACAATGTTATCTATTGCTCTCTGTCGCTACAATGTATCCACTGATGCTGGTGGTTGCCTTTTTGTTGTTACATTGTGACACATTGTGTTTACCTTCAAGTGCGGGTTCCAAAGGATCGTGTCACAATCGCTCCCCACCCCTTCCCATGCCCCTGCTACCCACCTCACTGGTCCCTCACGTAGCAAAGGCTACTCCTCAGAATCTCACCATGATTCTGGGCCTTACAGCACCGGATATAACAGCACCCATTTCAACAACCCCCCCACCCACTCCACAGCCAACCCTCACTGGTCACACTGTTAGACGTATTCCACAATTATAAGGGAAGAAGGGTACAGACGACAAACTGAGATCACAACCAGGCCAGCCATTGCCTTGGAATGCCCGAACAGGCTCGAAAGGCACAACGGTCTGCTCTCACAGAGAGGTCTTTACAAATTTCGGGCAGCATAGGCAACTACCTGAATAATAGCCAGCCAGCACAGACTCAATGGGCTGAGTGGCCTCTTTCTGTAATGATTCTGTTGATGAAATTTAATGTCCACCACCTGAGGTGGGTTGAGTGGCAGGTGGAGCGTTTAATCAGGAAGAAGGACTGAAATTACCATCCCCATTCTGGCCCTACCTGGGTTAGGCTGTGGTATGAAACCTCATGGATGGCCTCCCTGCCTTGTTATCAAATGAAACTCTTATGAGACCCTATAACTAATGTCCACTTAAGGGGTTCATCCCACCACTCAGGAGTGGGCAGAGGACTTGCCATGTGGAAAACTGAAAAGCAAATCCTGGCCAGTTGAGGGAAGGAGTGGCTTTCATTGTTAGGTATAGTCCCTGATGGAAGGACCCAGTATCAGGAACGGGGTGGTCTGCTGAGAGTACACCCACCCCACCCCAAACTTGCTACTAACCCCTTCACCCTACCCAACTGGCCCCTTCCTGCAATAATTCATCTGTTGGCTGGCTGGGTCCCTTGTCTATCCTGGCCCTCAGTTCCAGCAATATCCACAGCCTCCACAGTGATGCTGCTGAGCAACACACAGTTGCTCACCTCCTGATTGACAGCTGTGTTGGGGCAGGGGGTTTGATGGGCAGTTGTGTAGGGAGGACACTGATTGGGTGTTGTGTTAGAGGTGGCATGGTTTGGCTGTTATGTTGGAGGGGGCAAGGTTTGCTACTAGGGTCCTCCAAATCAGGGAAAGATCTGCTGTTGCCTTGTTAGGTGCCTAATGGCCTTCCCCAAAAAAGAAGTGATCGGAGCCCTTACTGGTTCTTCAGTTGGCAGACAAGTCCCATCAACTACATTAAACACTACCCTATGACTCTTACAGCACAGAAGCAAGTCCTTCGGCCCATTAAGTCCATCTTGGCATTTATGTTCCACCTTAGCCAATTCCCACTCTTCAAACTCCATTACCCATTCCTGGGTTTCTCCATCTCATACCATCCACTTATCCATTTATTCCTTTCTCCTGCCCCCATGCTAGACATTTCAACTATTCCTGTGCTAGTGAATTCTACATTTACCTTTAATAAGACCATCATTTTTTTCCATTTTCCCTCACCCAGCTCTGCACATGGCTCTGTTCATCTGCTGCTGGAAATCTGCGGCTTTGTTCTCATCTTGATTATTTCAACATTCGCATCATTTGCAACAACATGTCAAGCAATTGTTGGTTCAAGAAAAGTCTCTTATTAATGTCTACACTGAGCCTTTACATATTAAGTATTGTCATGTGTTTTTGTCCCATTTTATCTCAACAGGAAGTACAGTTTGCAAACCAAAATGTTAAAGTAGTATTCAAAATTCATGAATTACAAATATACATTCACATATTTAAAATTATTACATATGTAGAATATTCATCAAGTAGTAAGAGACAAAGAGCAAGACATTATTTGTTATTGAAATGCCTTTGGAAGATAAAAACATCTTCAGAAGGAAAAACATTAAAAGTTTGAGATGACAGCTGAAAAATCAACAGTGGACTAGTCAGAATCTGAGAAAGTAAATCAGGCCTTCAGATAAAAAGAATATTTAAAACTGCACAAGGGAAAATATCCCTCATTCTGCCACATCTCACATACGCACCAGTGTTTAGTATTAGGATGTGTTTTCTGACCAATTGTTACTGGGTCAAAATCTTGAAACTTTCTCCCAAACAGCACTTTGGGAGCATCTTCACCAATTGGATTGCAGCAGCTAAAGAGGAAAACTTGCACCATGAATTCCTCAAGGGCGGAGAGGAGTGGGTGATAAATGCCATCCTTATAAGTAATGCCCATATTCATGAATAAATCACAAAGAGTCCACTTCCTTTCAAGACTGTTACTGGTGCTACAATAGTGCTATGTGTCAGATAGCCCAGCGTTACCCTTTTCTGGTTTCTGAATATTGAATTGTGATTCCTACACATTAGTTTGTTGCTCCCAGCTCCACAGTGTTCCAAGAACCACAATAGCTTTCCATTGACAATGGACTCAAATTTGTTGTGGGATTAGATGCAGTTGACTTAGTTTACATGGGTCTTTGCTGAAACAAAACAAATAAGTGGGACAAGCATAAACAAATGATGAACATCAAGCTCACATTGGGTCAAATCCATTTTATTCTTCGGCTACTTTTGATCTCAGTTGAGGCAATCATTATGAATTAATATTTGTGCCATTTTAAACCAAATGGAATGTTAAGGTCAGAGATAGTAGGAACTGCAGATGCTGGAGAATCCGAGACAACAAGGTGCAGGGCTGGATGAACACAGCAGGCCAAGCAGCATTATAGGAGCAGAGAGGCTGACGTTTCGGGCCTAGACCCTTCATCAGAAAAGGGGGAGGGGAAGGGGGTTCTGAAATAAATAGGGAGAGAGTGGGAGGCGGATAGAAGAGGGATAGAGGAGAGGATAGGTGGAGAGTTAAGGTGTTTGTATCAGCCAGTTTCTAACTGGAAAAAAAACATTCTTGTACATTTTCCTTGAGTATAAAATTATCTGAAATAAATAGCAGATTTCATTTGGTGCTGTTAATTCCTATCCCTCAGAAGAATTAAGGATGTAGAATAATTAAGGATGTAGAAATTTCCATCAATAACTACAATTATATATCATAAATATATATATATAATAACTATATATCATACAACCAGAGTATTAATTATGACCAGAATAAGCTTACTAAAATAAGTCTCTGGGTGGTTTTCATAAACGCTATCACCTTTATCATGATCTTACTTTCTAGATAACTCCATGTGTATACATAAACTGAAAAAAAAAGCAACATATTGCTTTGAGCAAATTAAATACTTAACTTAGGTTTTTGTGGTTAGTCCCTGAAAAGCAATCTAGCAGAGGAAGGTATAATTGTTAATGCAAACAGTTAATTCCATGAAAATGACCAAGAGTTGAAATCACGTTAGTGATTCCCTGCCAGCCGAGATGCTGATTAGTATTGGTGTGATAACTAATTATGTATCTACACTCAATAATGTGAGAATTGGGTCTTCTCTTGCAACATAAAAACCAGCCACGATTATTTGATCTTCCAGTGGACAGAGTTTTGGTTAGGAAACATGTCTTTGAGACATATTTGAGAAAGATGTACTTTCCCTTATTTTGAATTTACAGTGACTCCTCTAACCTAAATTTACCAGCTATTCCAAGGTTGAATCTTGAACATCAAATGGAAGTTTGAACAGATCTATTGGTGATTGAAAAGGATTTTGTAATCTCTATTGAGATCTAAGAGTGGCTTAGTTAATTTGTACTCTGTTTGCTTGATCTGAATATGAAGATGTGTGCATATACACATCATTTGAATGGGAGTCAATAATGACAAAGAAGATTCTTCTTGCTTATCTTTCATTCAAATTGCATACCCTAACTTCCTTACTTACAAATTTAGAAATGATTTAGCAGCAACAAGTTTGCTTCAAAGCTCTATAGAAACAAGTAATAAAAATGTCTGTGTAAAATTGGCTCAGATTTCCCAATTTTTTTGTAACATACACAAGTCTTCGAACTTCCTGTTCCAATCTTAATGCTTTCAATTCCTGTTGTCTAACATCAAGGACCATGTACATAAATTAATCCTTGCTTGCTGCAAACCAAGGTGAGATTTTATACATTGTAATATCTGATGATGTAACATAGTGCTGAGTTGAACATAAAACCCCAGTTCTCGTGTCTGTGCTATCTGCCACCAAGACATTGTTTCTGCTAAGTTTGTTGCTAAGAGAACATTTGTGTGAGGACACATATAGATAGTATTAGTTCCTGAAATATTATGATTCAGATTACCTCTAAATGTGGACAAGTCTATCTGAAATTTGAACATATTGTTTGATCTGAATTCATCTTTAAACTAGAGATAGTAGGAACTGCCGATGCTGGAATCAGAGATAACAAGGTGTAGAGCTGGATGAACACAGCAGGCCAAGCAACACCAGAGGAGCAGGAAAGCTGACGTTTCGGGTCTGGACCCTTCTTCAGAAATGGGGGAGGGGAAGGGGGCTCTGAAATAAATAGAGAGAGGGGGAGGCAATTGTAGAAGGTGGATAGAGGAGCAGTTAGGTGGAGAGAAGATGGACAGGTCAAGGAGGCGGGGATGAAGCCAGTAAAGGTGAGTGTAGGTAGGGAGTTGGGATGGGGGTTGGTCAGTGAGGAGGGAGGGGCGGATAGGCAGGGAGGGAAGACGGACAGGTCAAGGAGACAGGGATGAGACTAGTAGGTAGGAAGTGGGGATGGGGGTTGGTCAGTGAGGTGGGAGGAGCAGATAGGTGGGAGGAACGACGGACAGGTCAAGGAGGCGGGGACGAGATG